TTTGGTGCAGGAAAATAAGACAAAATGAAGAACAACAAAGAGATTGCCAAGAAAAGGATGAGACAGTCGATTTGATCGACATAGATGAATTGAAAACAATGAAAAAGAGGAAAGCTTCAGGAAGAGATAAGTTAAATACAGAACTGTTCAAATATGGTGGAATGGTGTTGTTATGGAGACTGTTACACATAATAAACGAATGCTGGCAAAAAGGTCAAATACCAGAGGAGTGGAAAATAGCAGAAGTTATATTGCTACTTAAAAAAGGCGACCGAAACGAATTTAAAAACTATAGAGGGATAAGCTTGCTCAATTGCATATTCAAATTGTATGCCAGAATAGTAAATAAAAGACTGAAAAGTATTGCAGAAGTACTGATGGGAGAAGAGCAAAATGGTTTCAGGAAAGTAAGATCAACCACAGATAACATATTTATAGTACAACAAATATTGGAGAAAAGAAGAGAATATAACCTGCAAACTCATCTAGCATTTAATTTCGAAAAAGCCTTCGACAGTGTAAATAGAGAAACTTTGGCACATCATGGAAAAACAAGGCTATCCACAGCATCTAATAAAGGTGGTCAAAAGCTTATATGAAAATACTAAAATAGTAATAAGAATAGGAAACACAGTATCTGAAGATATAACAAATAAAGGGGTAAAGCAAGATTGTCCTATATCATCTACATTATTTAATATCTATGTGCAGAACATAAGTCTTCAAAACAGAAAGTTGACACTGGTATAAGAATGACCAAAGAAAAGATATTAAAGATTTTATTCTATGCTGATGACGCAGTTATTATTTAGGAAACAGAAGACGAACTACAGAGAGTAGTTAACCACCTTAATAAAATTTGCAAAAGTTATGACATTAATATATCAAAAGATAAAACAAGTGATGGCATTCAGGAGGAGGAAAAAATAAGGTCAAAAATTGTCATTGAAAACAAAATTATAGAGCAAGTTCTCTCCTTTAATTATTTGAAATAAGGGTGTAAAATAAGTTATGAAAAAGATAAAGATATTGACAACAAATCAACGAAATATCAAAAAACATATGGAACGATACACAACACTTTAAAAAATAAGACAAGACCGGAAACAAGAATTAAATTTTACAATACCATGGCAGCTCCTACATTACTTTACGGCTGCGAAAGCTGGGTATTAACACAAAAAACACCGGCAACAATACAAAGTAGTGAAATTAAATTTCTGCGAAGAATAAAAGGATGCACAAGAGAAGACCGAATAAGAAATGAAAAAATAAGAAAAGTTACAAGTGACATCAATTAATACTAGAATGCAAGAATATAGACAAAGATGGGCAGAACATGTGGAAAGGATGAGTGATATCAGACTTCCCAAAGCAGCTTTGTTATACGCGCTGAGAGGAAGAAGAGACGTGGGAAGGTCACGAAAACGATGGAAACTGTGAGGACGGAACAGGCAGTAGCCTAATCCATGAAGTGAAGAACTTAAATAAATTCCCGCCTCTCCAGAGTAACTGGAGAGAAAAAGAACTAATTTTTCCCTCTCTCTCTAGCGTAAGTTCACAATTGAGTGGGAAGTACAAGATGCCAATCATATAAATCCAGCCGAATCTTGTAATAGTTCATTTCAAAATTATCAATAAACACATCATAAAAGGATGTAAGTTTTTTGAAGAAAAACAGCTTTTGTTTTTCATAAAATATCTGCCCGGTGCTGACAGTTTTATCGACTGTTGACTCATAACAAAAGTTCCCAAAAAGTTTACATGTTTCTTGCAAAATAAAAATAATTTATAATGAAAACATTTTTTTAGTGAACTAAATATATTTTCTTACAAGTAATAAAAAAATGTTTCTGATACATTAACAATTTTAGGTTACTTCTTTTTCTGTGAAACCTTTTCTTTTTTTTTTATTTGATGCTTCTCCGAACTAGTTTCCTGTTTTCTTTGGTTTCTCGATTGAGCATCTAACTGGTCAGCTATCGTATCGTGATACCTTTCATCGTCCTTCACTACGTTTTCAGGAAAAAATAGTCAATATGAGTGTAAGAATGAACTTTTAAGCTCAATTTGCATCCTTGAGCTTCATACGCTGCTAGCATGCGTTGTGCAATGCTGGTTCCTAAGTATTCCCCAAAACCTTGTGCACTACATTGTTGAATAGAGTCCCACGCTTCTTATCTCGTCTGACATTGTTTTTATGAAGAAGGCATCAGAAGTTTTCTTGTCGGGGGCAGTGAAAACTTCTTTTTTTAATTTGGCTTCAGACAGTTTCGGTAACTCAGAGCACACATTTGAAACACACAATCTCTTGGCAATGATTTGACAACTTGCTTTATAAGAACCAACATAATATGAATAAGTGGTAATAAAACTTGTTCTAGGGGTTGTGTTGATTAAGTTTTTCTCGCATGGGGTTTATTTATATATAAAAAATTTTACTTGGAATTGAAATTTGTGAACCAAATTCAATAGTTTAATATCATCTGGTAATGTGTTGTAAAGTAACGTACATGTATTGTATGTGGATTTCTGATAGTGAACTGTTGATATTGACACTTGAATGTGATTTCTACAAGTCTGGTAATTATAAATATCAGTACTGAATGAAAATATGTTCCCACCGTTAAGTCAGTTTTGACAAATATTACAGATTAGTAAATAAACAGACAAGGCAATGGTATGACTCCAAGTTTAATGAAAAGATGCTTGCAAGGATCACGTGGATGGCATTTTTTCATTATTCATAATTTTCTTTTGCCATTAAAAATCTGAGTACATGACAAGCTTCCCCAGAACATTGAATATATTTGGCTGCCTATGTGCCAACACACTTCATTACTATGACAGGACCATAAATAATTTATACATTATAATCATTTACAGACTTAAAAGTCAAATATATGAACCAAAACCAGTAAAATTATCCCTCAAAACATACCATCTTTAATCTGGCATGAAGTCAGTGTACAGACTATTTCAAATGAATTACAAAAAATAGTTTCCTTGTGATAGGACAAAACACAAAGCTCTACCAGTACAATTTTCCACTTCAACCACTTTTGCCAGCTGACTTCGTTTATACAGTCAGTGCATAGCCATGTACCTTTCCTGACCATTGCCGGAATGTCACATGACTTGTTGCTTAATTACCTAGGTGAATGATATATTTCTATTTTAATGGAAGAGCTCCTAATGACCTAGGTAAATGTTATGTTTCTATTTTAATGGAAGACCTCCTATTGTCTTACCTTGAGGTTCCAATAACACACGTTTCCTCTTCTAGCTGCAAAGGCACTGTTTGATATTGGTAATGAGAAGAAAAGCAGTGAATTCCTCTTCAAAACAATTTTAATAATTTTCATGTTGTTTAATACTTAATCACAGTTGATTTTCTCTTAGCTATACACTTAAAATATTATACATATCTGCTCAAACATCAAAGCAAATAATTTATTTGGTAATTATATTAAGAAGAAAAGGCATGATAGAGACATGTCTTCCTTCTGTCCCCTGAGACCATTAATGTCTCGTGTAGTTTCAGTAGCTTTGGTAGTAACAGAGGTATGCTTGGTAGGTTGGTAGCATGGTGTACACATGTAAAGAAAGGCATTTTGATAACATAATGGGTGGACTTTTGAAATGATAAAACAGGAATTTATACACAGTTCTGCCAAATCTAAAAGAGGATAGTTGCACTAAACTTGCAGAGAAAAAGAGGCTTAGCTACCATTGTACTATAACAACAGCATACTCGCTTCACAAGATGGCATGTCCTGTCCAGCTAATATACCCTATTTTCTAGCCTCCTCCTCCTCCCTCCTGGAAATACCTTGGTCGAAAAATGTGGGGTCGTCCTAAATTCACATTTGAAGCTTAGTCGGTTATGGTTTAAGTTTTTACGTTGACACTCCATGTAATCGTAAATGTTGACAAAACAATAAACTGCTATGATTGAAAAATATCGCGCCATGAATATCACGTACTCGTAAATCTATTCACGCTCATATTCTCGATACGCACTGCGAATTTGACTGCAATTAAGCCCAAAATTTTTGAATAGGCTTGTAAAGTGAGAATTTCGAAGGAATGGCAATGTTTCAAATGAAACGTTAAGTGAAAATTAATGCAGAGATTTTGTTAAACGATGCGGGCTCGACAATGCCCCGCAGAATCTTGGTTCGACGCTCGGCGAAAGTGATTTGAACAGAAAGAAACTGAGCCAAAGTGCAGGACGGATAGAAAATCTGGCAACATAACTGCGCGCCTCAAGACCCGTCTTCACGGAGGCATTATGGCACAGCATTTCGCGTATATCTCGGACATACCGCTAATCTAGTGGTGCAAGCAGTGCTGAAGTCAGTGGTGCAGTTATAAAAATTACTCTATAGGTGAGTCTAATGAAATACAATGCAAACTTAGATCACAAAAATTTCAGAAGGGCCAAAAGACAGATGGTGCAACAGGGAAGGGCCAAAAAGAAAGAAACATTGATACATGTGAGGATGAGGGTGGTGACAAAAACCATGATTTTAATTATGTTTTTAAGGATCAAGAACATGATAGTTAAGCAATAAGATTACACATTCTCATCAAAGCAATTTTCTAGTCAATGTTGTGTTTTGTAGTCAATTACACAATGTGCAATATTATTTTGATTAAATAGTAAGAATTAGCTAACATTTTTGAAAATTCTCAGGAGGGCCCCTTTAAAATTAGGGGGTGGTTTTATATTCAGATAAATACAGCAATCCCTTTCAATTGCTTAACCCTCTTCAATACCATGTAAAAAGAAAAGAGGAAAATCCCACTGAAGCTTTTTTAACTCAATTAAATCAAAGTACTAGAAATCTGTTTCAAATGTATGTACTTCCTGCACTATTTTACTCTCATTGAAGGAAAAAATAGTTTAACCGAAAAATCAATTCACCAACTTCAAAATACTGCAAAGTTAATTAATGGGCTATTTATATATTTTTTGGAATATTATATATTTTTCTAGTATTTTCAAGATCATATACAAAATATTGTACTTTACAAAAAAATAATTTTTTATTCATTACTACAAACAACTTTTTTAAGGTCTCTGTGATAAGCATTACGGTGTTTACTCAAACCCTGCCGACCACTGAATTTTTTATCACAAATATGGCATGAAAATTCCTTCCCTTCATGACACGAAACATGGTCTTTAAATTTGTATTTATTCCTAAAGCTCTTTCCACAGTAGGGACACTGGAAAGAAGGTTCATGATATGATTCATGCAATCTACGACTCTGCCACGTGCGGAACGTCTGATCACATTTTCTACACTTGATTGGCTTTTCTCCTGTGTGCCATCGTTCATGAACCATCCACTTTATTCTTTGGACAAATGATTTTGAGCAGTATTGGCAAGTCCAGTGTTTGCACACATGGAGAAAAAGACTTTTCTCAGAATACAGAACTTTGAGGCAAGAGGAGCATTTCAATTTCTTCTTCTCCGTCAGATGCACCGCTAGTGATGACATATCACTAAATTTTTCCTGACATACAGGACAAACATATATGACACTAGTTTCAGAATCTTCAGAGTTCACTTCCTGACGAAAATTTTCGATTTCAAACACAGTTTTTACCTTGCCCAATTCATGTTTCCTTTTGTGCTGATGATAATAAATCTCTCGCGTAAATAAAGCACCACAAAGTTCACAACAGTATTTCCCAGAACGATCTTCCTCACCATGAATACTCTGAAGGTGAAATTTGAGTCCAGCAGGAGAAGTAAAGAATTTATAACATTTATCACACAAGTATTTTCGAGGAGAAGCATTATGTTTCTCATATTTATGTCTCTTCAAGTTCTTTCTACAAGGCACATTGTGACCACACAATTCACAAATTGTTGATAACTGACGACACATTGCAATGTGTGTCTTTCGTTCAGCAGAATTTCTAAACAATTCATAACAGAAACGACATTTATATGAAGCTTTACGATATTTGCGAAAACTTTTATCAAACTCTTCTTTAAATAATTTGTCTTCTTGTAAAATTCCAGTTTTGCTCTCCCCACAATGTGGGCAGATATCTTCATTTACTTTCGTCTCGTCTGTAAGAGATTCTAAAGGCACCTTAACTGTTAGAGCAACTGTTGGAGTCTCGGCTCTTAAAGCATCTGTTGGAGTCTTATCTGTTAGAGCATCTGAAGACATTTCCTCGGTCTGAGTTTCAACATCTTGTCCTTCTTTACTGCAAATAAATAAAGCAATTTCAGATTCAAAAGGAAACAAACAATATGTTCAGCAATGTTGGAAATTTAATTAAATCATTCTAATGAAAGAGAATTTGAATTTGAAACCAATGAGTTATCAAAAGAAAAGGTCATTATAAAGAATGAATTGGCAACAGAGAAATGCTGAAGTTATTTTATTACCTTGAACACGGATTATTAACACGTGAAATCTGAAAAATAAAAAAATAAAATGCATTCAGGATATTTTTAGATTGAAGAGCCAACATTAATTGATTAAATACAGTGTAAATTAAACTATTTTTATTCTTTGATCTAGAGAAAAATATTTCTAGTAATTATTTAGAAAATAGAATTAAAGTACATAAAAATTAATAAACTTAAAAACAGTATTTTTAATCCGTATAAGTGTTAAACATTTTGTCACTCAATATAATAAAGTAAGGGAAAAAATCATGCTCATCATATTAGAATCAAAGGAAGATTTACTAACATTACAATGATTAGTGTGCATGCACTAATAGAAGATGAAATGGTGATGGAAAAAGAAAATTTTTATTGTCAGTTGAGTAATTTGTACTTAGAAAGTCCCAAAAACCCGACATCAAACTGATTATAGGAGATTTCAATGCAAAAACAGGTAATGATCATATGATGACCCAGATTGTAGGGTGAGTTACACTTAGTAGTATTACGTATGGAAATGGATGGAAGCTAATTGACTTTGCATCAACTAGGAAAATGGTTATAAGCAGTGCAACCTTCCCTCACTAGAAGGTCCATCTAGAAACAGATCCCCATATGGGTTAACATGCAATCAGATAATCATGTATTAATGGATAGTATATACACAAGTAATATCACGGATGGGAGAGCACCTAGAGGTGCCGATTGTGATAGTGACCACTACCTGGTAATGGTGACATTAAAAAAACCAATATCTTAAGTTGGTAAGTCTAAAGGCAAAAAGTTAAAAAAATGGATGTTGAGAAATTAAAAAATAAAATTACAGCAAGGGATTAGAGAGTTAGGTATAGAAGATGCACAGAAGAAATTACCAGAATATCAGGAAGAGGAGAGTGCCGAAAGAATATGGGTGGTATTAAAAATTCTATATTTGAAGTATCTCAAAATATATCAGGAAAGAGGAAAAGGAAGAAGAGAAACAACTCATCTGATGAAGAATTTAAAATAGATTTGGATAATAGGAATAAAGCATGGCAAAAAATGCTACAAAGAACAACAGACAATATTTGTACAAAGTAAAAAATTTAAGTTTAGTATTTTAATTAAGTTTAGAAACAATGATAGACGAAAGTTTTATGTAGGAATAAAGATGGAGATCTAGTAGGCGGAGAGAATGTTGTGTAACACACATGGAAAAACTATTTGGAAATAACCCCCAGCACGAGGAACAAACTCCTGAATAGAAAGCGGTTTACTATGGACCTCTGAGCATTGACAACAACCACCAACATTTCACGAAATAATGAAAGCAATAAGAAATATAAAGGGAAATCTAACACCGGGAGAAGATACGATCACTGCTACTACACTATTATCTATGCCACTACGAACACTATTATCTATGCCAAAAAATTTGAGAGACTGAAACAAAACCAAAGGAATGAACTGAAATAATTTGCGAAGTTTACAAGAGTGCTGATAAACTGAACTGTATGAATTATCACAGAATATTGCTTCATTATACAACATATAAATTATTTACAACTGTATTATCATGGCATCTGGAACCATATGTGCAGGAACGTCTCTGAGATTAACAGTGAGGATTTAGGAAGGAATAGTCTGATCAAATCTAAACCCTTCAACAATTTTAGAGAAAACATGGGAACAGAATATCAGAATACATCCATTATATATATTTTAAACAAGCCTAAGTCTGTATTAGGAGGAAACAGCTTCTACATATGTTAAAATTTGGTTTCCCAAGTAAATTGCAAATGCTAATAGAAATGACTTTAAAAACACAACTAACAAAGTTAAAATTAAAATACAAACTATGGCTGGTATGGCTGGCCATCACAACCATTTCATATATGCTTGCAAAAAGTAATTACAGCCTTCAAAATAAATCCAAGAGGTCCAATATTTAATAGAACTGTAGAACTTTTAGCATATGCTAATGTTAAGCAGAGCACAGAAATTCCCCGTAGAATGTTTAGAAGAATTAATAACAGCTGCTAATGTAATCAGTCTTAGAATTAACTGAATTTACTGTGTTAAAAATAAGTATATGAAAGCGACATAAATTCTTCAATGTCCAAGTGTTCAATACGGTAATAAGTTCAGTAACATTATATGGTGACGAGTGTTTGACATTAACAAGTGGACTTGAAAGTGTGCTGATGTCCTCAGAAAGGAAAATCTTACGATGCATTTTTAAGAAAACACAAAAATGGACATGGGAGGCAAAACAAAGTGGAAATCAATGAAAAATGAATTCATTTAAGGTATTGCAAACAAATTAATTTCCGAATGTTTCAAGATATACTGCACCCATGCTGCTTCACCATAAATTAATATTTTCATGTGTATCATATTTTGGTGAATGTAAAGAATTGAACTTTGAACAAATTAACTTCATTGGGCTTCCTTTTGAGACTTGTGCAGTCAGTGCCACCACTCAACTCACAACTGATTTCTTTATTCCTTGTTAGACTGTGTTCTGCATGTTTCGGGTGGTATCAGACGTTTTAGGAAGTTACTAAATTCTAGAGAATATTCGAATGGCTTTTGGAAGCTCATAAGCTGTTTTCTCTCTCTCTCTGTTATGGTGTGTCCAGTAGTGCATTTTTCACATCGCCTGTTGGCCTGTCTGAGCCCAAGCCAGTGAAGATAACAGTAGGGACCCTCATTATTCCCTTTTGAATAACCTTTTCATTTTCGACCCCAGGAGCAGGCTGGTTACACATGGCTTAAACCAAGGGTTTGAAATGCACAAGAAAAATGAAAATGGAAAGGATAAGATAATTTTTAACAAAATGGGTGGTCTGCTGCTTCAGGTCAAAGATAAAAGCAGTACAAAGTATTTTTCCATGAATCATTACGAAATTAGTGTAGTGGATTATTAAAGTATTGCAAAAATACGAATGATTACAGAATCAGTCTCAAATTACTTATTTCAATCCTTGAAGGATCTACGAATTATTTTTACACCTAGACACAATACAAATTTCACAATTCTTTAGAATTTAAAAAGAAATGCTTGGAAATATTTTGACACTCACATGAGATTCTATACCAAAGGTCTTCAAAAGAACACCATCAGCAGCAACACAAGTTGTATACAACTCGTGCCACTGATTCAACACAGTCAAACAATTTAAACAAATACAAAATGGCAATGGATCGTCCAATTTCACCTGAAACAGAAAATTTGTAAAATCAATTAAAACTTTGGAAAATATTCAGAGACAGCCACAGATATTTAGCTATTTACTAGATGATTATGACATTGTGTTTACTGAAATGTGGTTGGAGCCAGAGATTTTGAACTCTGAATTTAATTTGCAAGATTTTATAATTTATAGAAATAGTCGAAATTGTATTAATAGCGTGTTTAGAAGAGGTAGTAGTCTAATTGGAGTGAATAGTGTGTAGCATAGTGTATTAATTGAAGGTTCCAATAATGTAGAAAACCTTTTTGTTCATTTGTGTATCTAAGATATTGTTGCTATAGTGTCAAATGTTGATTTCCCACCTTCATCTACAGATGAAATATTTTTGACACATTTTTCTAGAATAGAGACATTAGCTCTGGTGTAGCTAGAGTAATTGGCTGATTTCTGGCGATTTCAACTTCAATCACGTGAGATGGGAGTGTAATGTCATATTTCAGGCTGACTTCTGCAAATTTTCATTGCATCCATCATTGTAATTTTTTATCTTGTTCACATTAATCAATAATTTGTTACATTGATTAAATAGCAAAATGCCTGAAATATGAGGTGCCAACAGGTATTAGTTTTATTTCACATAAATTGTAAGCATTGTTTTTTGTTTGTTCTGGAAATTATTTTCTGTACATCTTACACACACATAGTTTATCAATGAATATTTAATTTTAAAAAGGTAATTTATATAATTATTATTCTTAAATTAAGAGCTTTTCATGTGCTCTACCAATTCAGTGACTATTTTCATCTTGGAATATAATGCAATTTTGTGCTCTAAAGATCCCAATGTATTTATTTTATGTTAAAAATGAATTTATCTCTGTACACCTCTGGCAATTTCTATTCTGAGGATCACTATAATTCTCTAACTCACTACTAGAGTGTAGGTATGTCACACTCATTATCAATTACTACTACACTCATTTGTTCATGTAAGCTGCCAACTTCACTCACAGATTGCGTTGAGACACCTTCAATTCCACTAGGTCTGCGGATTAATATTGTAACTATTTTTTCTGTATATAACCGAGCTGTGAGCTCACTTCAGTTGCTGTTTGAGCCACTTTTGTTTCAGTGGTCTGGCTGCCGCTTGCGCGAACACACTCTTCCGCTACTGCCATAGTTTGGCCATCTACCATTTTTTATTGTGTTATTTCTTGGAATTCCATTCAATTAAAGCGCCAAAAACCGTTTTGAGGAAATGTCTTCTAAAAAATAATTGGTAGGTAAACTGGACATGGCCCAAGAATATTGTAAAATTTTGTATTTGTAGAAACAACCTCATTTTAAATTGTATTTTCAGTCATGGTATAATTCATGTGTATGTAGTACGTATCTTTTGAAATCTGCTTATTGGATATGCTCAATTGTTTGTCGGCTCAAATTTTTATGTAATATGTTCAACTTGTTAACTGTGGCTCTAATAGTCAATTTTGTTTCAGCATTTATTGTGAGATATTCTGCACACAGGTAGCTCTGTCTCTAGTATTTTGTGCACTAATTCTAAATACAAATGTTGTATGAGTTTCAGTACAGTGTTTTTTGTACTGGATTTTGCCAGGCCTAGGTACATCTGGGGCCATATTGCTTTTGATTGCATGACCTGGGACCAAATTCGTTCGCTAACCCTCTGGCAGTGATCAGGAGCATTAGCAACTTCCAAATTGGCGTTGCATTTTGAGAACATGGGCAGCTCTCATTCTCTTCTATAGAGCTCTTCTCTGGTGTTGCACTTTGTTGGGAGCAGAGCGACACCCAATTGGTGTTGCACCTCAAGAGTTTCTTGCACCTTTCTAATTTGTCTAGAGCAGTGCCCTGTTTGGCATTGTGCTTTATACACCACTTTGTAGAGGTGAACATAAATGTATTGATCAATTCTGAGCGTTATCCAAGCAGACATGTAATTTTCCCAATGTTTTGGCAATTGTAATTTTTCTTGACTGAAGGTTGTTCCAATAAGTGTTTATATAGTAAAATAATTTACTACTTGTCGAGCATTTGAGGCTCAATCCAATTTTTCAAGGCAGTTTAGTATTTAATTATTTTTATTGCTTAAAGAGGGTTCTTCCGCAAACGGAAACCCTGACATTCTTGTTCTATGTACACTTGCATACTTCAAATTCTATATTATTAATTATTCTATAAAAGCAACCTAATTGTTGTTTTTTTTTAATAATTCTCCACTTGTTCCTTAAATTGCCATTACATTAGTTTCATAGTTAGGAGATATTTTTCATTAATTTATTGATTTCCAGGGGAAAAGGATCTATGTTTTATTTAATTTATACTTCTTATTCTTCCACACGTGGACCCCATTTGTACACCAAAACTTTATTGGTTCTGTTTGGTTTTGTCATTACTAAAATTTATCCTTGTTTAATAAATGTTGGTTCTTATCTGAAAGTTTGAAATCAGATTTTTCCCAACCGTATTCCAGATTCCTGTATGCTGATTTCCTCGGTTATTTATTGTTTGGTAACGTCCAGTGCCATCTATTGAGAAGTTTGATGTTACTTCGCGTATGCCAGTAGATGACCACTCCGATTTGATTAATTATTGCCACTTCTCATGGCTGGCAACCGTGTATTCTATTATTTATTTGGCCTTTTTCAAATTCAACATGCAATAGACTGTCAAGTTACCCTATTTATGCTAAAGCTACACTTTGCACAGAAGAACTTGAGACAACACTGGCTGACACTATTTGCTTCTTAAATCTTTTTCAGAATAATTTGACGACAAATAGCAAAAATGTAACCTTGAACTTATTTTTCACAGATTTTGAAGATACTTCAGTTACGTGTCTTGAGCTTATGATTATCAGTCATGAGAGTCAGCTGATGATTTTCAGTCACCCACCACTTTTTATTAATTGTACTTTTTTTTTATATGTCCTGCCATTAATGATTGTGAAAGATGCGTATACGACTCTTGAAACGCCGATTATCATTCAATATTCTAATATTTAGGTCATTTTTACACCGAAGTCTCATAAAATATTCGTGACCTTCAAAAGAGATGTCATTTCTGAAATTCCCACGGTGGTTTGGTGATGAATTACAGAAAACTATAATCAACAAGAAATTGGTTCATTCCCTTTATAAAAAATAAAATTATCCTATTTAATACACATAGTTTTGTAAATCGAGGACAGATTGTAAGAGCATTGCTGTGAGAGATTTTGCAATTTTCAACAACTTTATATTTTTTATAACATCCGACCAGAAAAATGTTTGGCACTACACTGATTCTGAAAGGGATAGTAGAGGTTTACCGAGTGTGATGTATTATGATTCTTCTCCGTTCAATGATGTCAATTCTATTGTAAAAGGTTTTGCTGGTTACTTGTTATCTTTTTATAATCAACAATCAAACTCATTGGATGTTAATTGTGAAGCCTTTGACGTGCAGTGACCAAGAGAATTTGAGATTGAAATTTGATTATTTTATGCTAGATTGAACTGACCAAGTTTAGTTCTAAACCAGATGGCATTTCATCAATTTTGAGTGTGAACCTAAGTTCTTCGAATCTTTGATTGTTGACAAGATTGCCAAAGTTATTTATCTACTTTTGTCTGAGACACAGTTTGGCTTCAAGCCAGGCAGAAATATAGAGTTGAATCTTGTACCTAAGAAATATGAAAAGAGTACCTATAAATCTACCATCACTTCTTAAGAAAGATTGGTAAACATCATTTTGAGCGAGTTGCATATAGAGTGTATGAAGTAGCAAACTAAAGAGACTAAGTATGAACTCTAGAAGAATAATAAAAGACTTAAGACAATGGTTCATAAATATGAAAGACTCCGAAAATGTCTTAAACTAAATTATACACGAGGGCATAATTGAACCAAGATATAGTTCTTTTTTCCTCTTAGATTTCTATACCTTACACGAACTCACCTCGCACAGAGCCTCTAATTACGATCAGACTCGTTATATAATTTAAGTTATCCATTCTTATTTTAAATGTAAAATTTGCTTTACATTCATTCTTTATCTTAAAAGTGATATTTTAGGAGAAAATAGTAAATTCTGTTTTATCAGATCTCACACACAGGACTGTGTCCTCAGTAGGATACAAAATTTTATGTGTATTTTGTATGTTCTTAAGCCTGAATAAAGTATTGTGTTGTATACTATTCTACCTCCATTCTTGAAAGGGTGGAATGTAATCATCAGATGGACTGTATTTACTCCGATTTCAATTGAACTTTAACACCTGGTGATATGTCATCTACAGTTGGTTACATATGGAGGTGCTATCTCTGGCCCTATTTCAGCTTCATAAGGCTTTCCACAAGGCTCTCATTTGAATCCTCTATTGTTTAATATTTTTACACATGACATTTGTGAGGTGAACAATAAAATTACATTCCAGTTCTTCGCAAACGATCTTCAGTTTTTCTTGAAAATTCAGTCAGACGAAGACGGGTTCTCTTGCAGCAAGCATTGACTGCTCACTCTGATTGGTCCATTACAAACATCTTCTCAATGTCAAGAAATGTAAGGCAACAACTTTTACCAGAGCTAGATTGGTAGAGACTTTTTATTACAAACTTGATTCTATAAGTTAGAGAGTCACATCCATGAGAGATCCGAGTGTGATATTTGATTTTGGAATGAAATTTAATGAACATATTCAGCGCACTGGAAACAATTTCACCAGGTCTCGGATTTTATAACGTGCATTTGTTATGAATTTTATTCAATTACGGCATTAAAAACCCTCTTTCTTACAACAGTTAAACACATTGCTCGAACTCGTTCAAACTCAGCGAGGAACGAGCAGGAACATTATGACATCATGATTCCTGAACCACGGGATCATGACATGGAAAACGTTGTGAACAAGTAACGCCTCTCTCTGACCTCCAGGCGGTTTGGCGTAAGAACTTCTTGAGTTGGCGCGGTGTTCACATCTATCCCAGTGTGCTGGTTTGCTCCAACTCATACAAGGTGGTTC